TTTTTCTCCCACAATTATGACTTTCTTCTCGCAATTGCGAGTTTACACATCACAATTCATCTAGTTCACTATTCTTACAATTCTATAGTTTATATCTTGCAATTCTGACTTCTTTTCTCAGAATTGAGATATAAACTCAGAATTGCAAGAAAAATATACAGTGGTGCAGGTATGACATCAGAACCCGGAAGACTAATTTGCCGCGACTTCCTTCGAGATTTTCCTATGGGGTTTTATAATGGAATAAAGCCTGTGGTAAACATAACTTGACAATACGCTGATGTTTTGTTCTGCAACAAACTGCACACACTCACACCCCAAACTGTCTTATCTAGTTATCTATTAGAAACATACGTTTTCAAAAATAAACACAACAACTTCCAAATTTGCGTTTTCAGTGTGGGTGTGTGCAGTTTACATGGTTAAACAAAATGTCAAAGTATCATCAAGTTATGTTTACCACAGGCTTTATTTTACTCATAAATTTAAAAACTCCATTATAAAATCCCATAGGAAAATCTTGAAGGAACCAGAGGCAAATTAGACTTCTGGGTTCTGACATCATACCTGTGCCACTCTATTGTGAGATAAAAAGTAACAATTACCTTTATTTTTTTATTCCGTGGCGGAAATGGGCTTTCATATATTTCAAATGAAACTCAAATAAAAGAAACAGAAAATATATTTTGCTTAAAGAAAAGGTAGCCTGTTTGAAGGACCATTGAAGGTATAGTTAACATACAGAACATTTACTCACCCTCATGTCATTTCAAACCTGCACTGTAAAATTCATTAGTTTACTTAGTTATACTAAGTAAAGTAGGCCCCAAACTCTGGAACAGCCAACTGGTTTCGATCCGAATGGTGTCATCACTTTCCTCTTTCAAATCAAAACTTAAAACACATTTGCTTAGTGTGGATCTCTAATTTATTATTATTATTTTTTTTTTTCTTTTTGAGATATTATCATTTGTATTTGACTTCTATTATCTGTACAGCACTTTGGTCAACCCTGGGTTGTTTTTAAATGTGCTTTATAAATAAATAAATAATGAATGAATGAATACTTACTATGTTTTATTAAGTTACAGCTACTTTCAAGGCAAAAAAAAACAATTTACTTACTGTTTTGAGTGACACTTACTTAAAATATTCAAGTAGCCACAAAGGAACCAAAGACATTAATAAAGCAGTGAGAGGTAGCAGTGCACTAATATGTTGCTAATGTGCAACATAACAACAGCAGAAGAAGAAAAGAAAATGAGTCTTAATAGACTTTTCACTCATTTCCTCCATGTCTGCAGTTATCTTTCACTAGTTGCATTCACTCGTTTCCCAGTCATCATGAATGTTGAATTTTCAATACAACTGAAATATTTGAGAGAACATCACATAAGCTGACTTCATATTCAATTGATGTTGATTTTCCTAAAATGTGTTTTATTTTATTTTTTTACTCACCATTATAGTGATTCGCGTTCCCTTTGGTTGGGCACTTGGAACTTTCTTTATGTTACTATAATTATCATCCTGTTAATGCAGCAATGCAATATGAATTCAACATAATTTGGTTACAAGGGAAGAAAAGTAATAAATGGGTTGATTTAAGAAAGTGACCTATCTTCTAATTAAATTAATAATGTATTTTGTGATTGTGTTAGTCAATTAACTTCTGCAAAATTTATTTTTCATAAATACCTTAAGAAGCTTATAATTGGGTATATATAATCCTTAGTGTGTGGTAATATGCTAAAGTCACACACAGACTTAAACATTCAGCACACGAATCACAACAATGGTAACAATTCAATTTAATTTCTTTGTATTAATTGTAACAATAACCATTTTATTTGCTCTTTTGGTTGTGCTACTACTGACACAAGACAGCAAGTAAAATTGGCAAATAAAAACAACAACTGTAAAACAAAGCAACTGCATAATTTATTCATGCCGCAATGCACTCTGGGAGTCAGTGAGTAGCTACACTAAATCATGAGTAAACCTAAATGAAAGGATCAAGTACCCCCTAAAGTTCTTTTTTTAGTTACTAGAACTCTTGTGTAAGTAAACTATACTAACTAAGCATCTGTCAGTACAACATACTATTCCTATTTCACTTTACTTAGTTTTTTCAAGGCAATCGGTTTGCATGCTTTTTTTAAGTAAGCCCAACTAATTAGATTTTTCAGTGTGTATCACTTTTTTTGTCCATACAATTAAAGCTAATGGGGTCCAAATGAACATTGTCTTTGCATCATGACATTATTTTCATGACAATTTCCCTCAAATTGTCATTATCACAACGTGGCAAAAAAATTAAAAACACTCACTCATTACCATACTGTTAAACAAATAATGGCATATTATTTAAATTGTAAGGTTATTTAATGAGAGCCTAATGAGAATCACCATTGAAAGTAATGAGAATTACCAATAAATTAAAAAGTATAATATCCTGATATGTTGCTGTAATAAGAATGTGGAATGAAAATATGCTTATTTGTCATGAAAATAATGTCACAGTGTCACAATCTTAATGGTCCTAAAAATAGACAATATGCAAACTATAATTTCTTATTTTTTTTGTTTGGATTTTGGAACTGAAATATGATCCAGACATGTTGGAGACCCACCCATCTGTTTTTAAAAATTAATCAGAGAACAAAAATGTACTCTGTGACTAAGCTATAAAAAGCTATGCAGAATGTGCTAATGGTGTCATATTCCCCTACTCCTTAAATCCAGTATGAAAAGCATGAAGATTGGATAAGAGTTTGTTCAAATGCAGTTTGCAATGATTTCAAAATAAGGAAGAAAACAATTAAATGAGAGGGAAGCAATGGAAAAAGCCTGTACAAAAACACTCGTAAAGGATCTAGATGTGATTCCGTGCTCGGCGCTAATGAATAGAGATCAATGGGAAAACCTTGAGCAACATATAGCAGCAACTCTTAAATTGTACAGGCTGTCCGTTGACTCCCTGAAGGAAAAGATGTTGCAATACTTTGAGGTAGAGAAGCAAATCCCTTTTTAGGCCAAGAATAGAGAAATTAATTTTAAAATATGGATAATTTTGGTTACACCTAGTATGCAGATGTCACATCAAACAAAATCTGATGATTGATAAAGGTGTTTGTAGAGTGGGCTTGAGAGAACGCTCAATATGAAAATGAACTGGCCGGGTCAGCTAACCTAACCTGATGGCATGTTTAAGTGATTGACTTTTGAAGGTGGTTAAAAGATTTATGATTCTCTCAGTTCATGTCTGAGTGACATGAACACTTCTGAGAGAGCTCCCCCCACCATAAAAGACAAGTCGATGGTGCTGTTTGAGGCCTCAGTTTTTTGGAGATTGAGTGATTTGTGAGAAGCATGACTGACAGGCAGCAAATCCCTGCAGTATGGGCTGTCAAACACAAATCAAACGCAGGTTAAGGGCGTGTGTGTGTGTGTGTGTGATTGAACACATGTGGCCTCATTGGGGTGATAGGTGAAAAGAGACCCAGGAAACATAACACAGGTTTTTGATACAATCATCACAGTTGCACTGTTTGGCACTGCTCTTTGAATTTTGTGCTGCAAAAGATGAAACAGGAACTCGTTAGATGTTTTTTGGCCGTTCATGGTGCACCCGGTTTAGGGCAATTTCCTCTAACAGTACAAGTCAATGTAGTGTTCATACATAATTAACAGCAGTGGCCTGAAATAAAGATTTCAGTTTGTTTTAGGAGTCTGTGGAGAGATATATTACAACAAAAATGTAATAAATATTAATTATCAAATGATTGAACACATGTGGCCTCATTGGGGTGATAGGTGAAAAGAGACCCAGGAAACATAACACAGGTTTTTGATACAATCATCACAGTTGCACTGTTTGGCACTGCTCTTTGAATTTTGTGCTGCAAAAGATGAAACAGGAACTCGCTAGATGTTTTTTGGCCGTTCATGGTGCACCCGGTTTAGGGCAATTTCCTCTAACAGTACAAGTCAATGTAGTGTTCATACATAATTAACAGCAGTGGCCAGAAATAAAGATTTCAGTTTGTTTTAGGAGTCTGTGGAGAGATATATTACAACAAAAATGTAATAAATATTAATTATCAAATGAATGCTTTTAAAATTTTTGAGTGGAATGGGCCAGGACTGCATTTGGGTCAGTACTTTTATTCTTTCAAATGTAGCTGGACATTCTTCTCCCTGCTCAATCATGTGCGGATCATGGTTTAAAATAAATACTTGTTCATGATTATCTAATGACGTCATAAAATAAAAATATGTGTTTTGTGGATTCAAGTTTTAGCTTAGTCTTTAAAAAATGAGGTCATTTCAAAAGTTTGGGGTCAGTAAGATTTTTTTTTTTTTGAAAGAAATTAAAACTTATTCAGTAAGGGCACATTAAATTGATCAAAAGTGATAATAAAGGCTAGGTGCTCAATCATGTGCGGATCATGGTTTAAAATAAATACTTGTTCATGATTATCTAATGACGTCATAAAATAAAAATATGTGTTTTGTGGATTCAAGTTTTAGCTTAGTCTTTAAAAAATGAGGTCATTTCAAAAGTTTTTTTTTTTTGAAAGAAATTAAAACTTATTCAGTAAGGGCACATTAAATTGATCAAAAGTGATAATAAAGGCTAGAATCAATGTTTCCACGAAAATATTAAGCACCACAACTGTTCAACAATAATAATAAAAAATGTTTCTTTAACACCAAATCAGCATTTTAGAATAATTTCTGAAGGATCATGTGACACAGAAAACTGGAGTAATGATGCTGAGAATTCAGTATTTGCCATAACAGGAATAAACCATGTTTTAAAATATATTAAAATAGAAAATTATTATTTTTAATATTGCACAATATTCACAATATTTCTGTTTTTACTTTTGAACGGTAGTGTATATTGTTCTTCTTTCTATTAGTTTTTTGGATGAGACAGGGATGCACACCAAACAAAGCCATGAATTTATCAGCTATCAAGTAGATTTTCTCACCTGATCCTATCCGGCACCCTCTGTGTTTGATTTCCATCCATCACGCAGTTCCCAGCAAAGCTCGTCCCTCGGGCCCCACCATACTCCCTACGTAAAGCCATAGCACCGTGCGTCAATACTGACACACCCTTTGCAATTCGCCGTCGTGGCTCATCCCTCCATCCCTGGGGTCGCACAGCGAAAATAGCCTTGGGTAGACCCTCAAGACCAAGTCCAGACAGAGCTGGGCCCACCGCAAACCACATATGTGAAGGAGTAGCCTGCCCGGATGCCCATGCAGCCTTAAAAATGTGCTCCGCCTCTTCCTGTGAGCAATATAGGAGTCGTACCTGTAAATAGTGGAAGGGCAAGAAAGGATTAAGTATTCAAAGGAACCACTTTTTCATTTTAAAGTCGACATAAAATCAAAATGTATTTACTCATTCATGATTTTATTGTGCATGATGACCATTGGTGTAAATTACTGCGAAGAAAAATAAGAACAAAAAATCTTTGGTCTTTTTTTTCTTTGGTCATGCAAAGAATATTTTAAAAAGCTAGAAAATGAATATGCTGACTTTAAGAGACACCAAAAAAAAAAACATATTACAATCATCAAGCTCAATACGCTCTTCCTGGCTCCTCATGATACTTCTATGATTTCAGAGATTTTCCTATCAGAACAGAGTGATCCAGTCAGCTTGTTATACATGTACTAACTCATGTTCTTCAATATCCTTTGCTTGACCGAGGGTGTTTTTATAAACCTCAAACCAGGGAAATAGTGTACAAGGGCTTTTTCTTCACATGTTTCAGAAAAAGGTCAGAGAAGTCAGTCATCGTAAAATTACTTTGATGTGCAGGGGTGTTGTTTTTCTTGATGGAGATGGGTCGCTTATCCCACTTGTCGACATGTAGCCACAGGCTCCTGACAGGGAGATAAAACTACTCTTGAGGGTTGATGACTGGTGACCTGCACTCCTCCAACAATTCAGTTAACAACTGTAGTGAAAGTAGAAGTGTGGAATCAATAGATCTTCCAGCAGGGGCAAGACTACGCTCTGGATACTGGACTACACCCCCAGATGTTTTTTCAGTGGCCATGGGTCTTCATTTTTATTATTATAATTTTTTTGTTTTGTGCAAAAAAGCAAAATAAATGGGCAAAAATGAATGAAAATCCTTAAATATAAGCTTCTAATATTTTTGACACTTGCAGTTGATGACAATGCAAACTTTGACATGTTGTTGGCACTGTAGATGGTTCCGTTCATTCCCATTTTAACCTCAGAGGCCCAAGCATTGATATTCATGATGTGATATTTTAACCCTTTAACATGTCTTTAGAAAGCTTTTATTAATTAAAAAAAGAAAACATTTTGTTTATACATTTTGCATTGGGGTATAATTTAAAAGATGTGCAAAATAAAATTTTACCACAGTGTTTTTAAACACTAAGTGAAAGCTTTGTATTTTGGGAGGGGAAAAAATAAAGGGATGGAAAGTTAATACATTTCATTATTTGACTATTTAAACACTGCAATAATTATTCATATAAAAGCACATTTTAAATATAATGTATTTATTTATACCTCTTAATTAAATTATAAGGTTATAGCAATTTTTACAAAAAATATTTTCAAAATTTCAGGGCATGTAAGCATTTCCCCACCACTAGAATATCACTAAGAATTGCGTCAGCTGACTTTGACTTCAGCGTTAATATGCAATTTTTTCTACATTTTTAGAGAATTGGCTACTGTTATGTGTTGTTTTTACCCACATTTAGCAGAATTGTTTTATTAATTCATTGCTTTATACAACCGTTGCAATTCTTCCACGCTGGGTCTCTGAGGGTTAAACATGTGAAGGAGGAATGAATTATTTATTCTGATGGCAGTTTTGATAATGGAGCAGTTTACATTTACAATTTTTCAGCATGCTGGTCTTTTTGGTAAAGCTTTTTAAAATAAAATAAAGCACGTAAGCTTATGTTTCAAAGCAAATCACTGAAGGCAGAGTTTTTACATTTATAACAAAGCTTGTCGATAACATCTGCACTTTCATGTAGCATGTGTCTGTTGGGCCCTTACAAAAACCGAACTGACGTTCCTATCACATTGCATCAAGCTAACCCCAATTTTTTCCACATTCTTTTCCATGCGGGAACTGTGACAGGCACTTTGAATGTGCTCCTGTATCAGTCACTGATTAGGGGCTGAAAGTCTGGGTGCTTGGACACTGTGGATCAATCAAGTTGTTGAACGTCGAGGATGTCTGCTGGCATGGCCAGTCCTGTGCGGAATTGAGTTGGCCACCTTTGGGTCAGATGGAAACTGTCATTTAATGTCACGCTGCTCAGTAACATTACGGATGCCATCTCCCCTTTCGTAGGTCACGCGACCTCCTTCTCTTTGGGAGCCTTCACGTAAATGCCAAAGAATGCAGGAGAGTGAGAGAGAGAGAGAGAGAGACAGAGAAGAAAAAGAAAGAGTGGAACGGATACCTGAGCGATGAGAGAGAAGGTTAATCGAGAAATGAAGCTGGGAATATGGAGGAAGTGACTTATCGAACGCATGAGGAGCTTTACCTTATGTTGCTGATTTTGGGGTGCTCTGGAATAATTGCTCTGGGGCATTAGAGCTGTCTTTTCTCTTTTTGCTGTCATATTCATGCTTCTATAATTAACCAAGACTGATTTGGTAATACAGTTGTTAATTGTGCTGGCAGAGAAGCCACTTTGAATTAAAAAGGGAAAAAATTAAATAGGAGCTGGTGGAGTGGGAATGATAGTTCAATGGAAGGAAATGAAACAGTGGAAGAGAATGAACTGGACAATCACTATTGAGAGAAAGAGCTTCCAGTGCAGTTCACAAAATGGATGGATTTATATGAAGATTTGAAAAAATGAACAGATTAAACAAGAAATGTTATTTGTGAAAACTTTGCAATTACCAAGTTTTTGGCTTTTAAATGTGAGCTGTCCCAATAATAAATTAAAAGCAGTCTCTCTCTCTCTCTAAACGATCATGATAAGATAAGATAATACTAATGTTACGACAATTACAATAAGATAAGAATAGGATCTCATTAAAAGCCTGGGATTTAAACCTGAAAATAATCTTTTTGAGATTTAAATAAAATACGTAAAATTACTTTTAAAAAAAGTGGGATCTAAACATCAGATCATATAAAAATGGATGGATTTATATGAAGATTTGAAAAAATGAACAGATTAAACAAGAAATGTTATTTGTGAAAACTTTGCAATTACCAAGTTTTTGGCTTTTAAATGTGAGCTGTCCCAATAATAAATTAAAAGCAGTCTCTCTCTCTCTCTAAACGATCATGATAAGATAATACTAATGTTACGACAATTACAATAAGATAAGAATAGGATCTCATTAAAAGCCTGGGATTTAAACCTGAAAATAATCTTTTTGAGATTTAAATAAAATACGTAAAATTACTTTTAAAAAAAGTGGGATCTAAACATCAGATCATATGTGACCCGTGCTGGCAAAATGAGTCGGAATGTGCACGGTCTAATATTGAGCTACAGGCAAAAGAAGTGAAAAACGGAGAGGAGTACCTTTTTCTCTTCTCACTTCTGGATGACTGCTGCTGCATCTCACTACAAGTTGTAAGATATATTGTTGCAAAGCGCAGCATTCCCGCTTTATGAATTTTCAAAGAGAATTCTGTATGACAAGAGTCTGAACTAGTAAAATATGATTTTCAAACCCATGCTGATGAAAACAAAACGATTGTGCTGACTGACGTTGCATGACAATTGCTAAGCGCATGCATAAGACTCGCCTCTCCGAGAGCGAAATATTGCGAAAAATGTCTTGGCGAGATTCACACAAACATAATCTGTTATGTCTTACATGAACGTTTAGTTAATGGTTGGAGAAAGATCTGGGGCTGGTTGCACCAACTAGACGTACACCCAGTTGTAAGACTAGGCTGGACGTAAAATGCGCTTTAAGTCGTGCGTAGAATTTATACCCGTTGCACCATCTCGGCGTAGTGCTACGTCTGAGATTAAATCTTAAGCCTAGTCAGAGGTAGGTGTAAAGTGAAAAAGTCATGATTTGCTCGGACATTATTCGTTTTTAGGATTCATGTCTATTAGTTAATTATTACTGCAGACGTGAACTGTAATGTTTATGGTCTTTTCGGGCAGGATTAGCGATATTAATCGTGAAGCTCGGTGTACTATACCACACTGCCAACAGTAATTGACCTAATAAAAACGATATTTCTGTTCAGCGTGTAAATATGCAGTAAAATATTACATATGATCTGGGATTATTAAACGAAACATGTATCTTGCTTGGAAGGATGGTATAAATGCTTGGAAAATATTTCACATCTTTATTCCATTCATTATTTGTAGCGTGCCTGCCATCCAATAATCGCAGTAAATTTTGTAAGTAAGACAGTAAGCAGTAAGACTCTATCGACTTCAAACGGCTGTAGCTCAGTCATTTTGTGTCCAATTCCAACAAAGTTATATATTATTTTGAAGGTATTTTAATGTAGAATGTGAAAATGAAGAGAACTAATTTTTTTTAAATTTGCTCATTCCGACTCATTTTGCCAGCACAGGTCACATATTAAAGATTTCTAGGCTTTGAAACTAGAAATAAACAACATTTAATGATTTAAATAAAAAAGACATAAAATGATGTACAAGAAAATTAGATTTTCAGATTTGATTTGATTTGAATGAATGAATGAATGAATGTCAAAACGTCAGGAAATCTGTGATTTGAATCTGGAAATGAACCATTTTAGGATTTAAAAAGTGAAATAAATCAATAAAAATGTATTTTTATTTAATAATACAATAATATGTAACTTGTATATAATATGTAATTTGTAACACTGATCATGTGATCCCTCTCTGCAGACAGTCTCATGTTCTTTTTTCTATTGATGCTCAAGATGCTCTTTGATCATTCTCAGATCATGCTGGAGAACATGATCATCAGGTTTTATACAAACTTGTTGAGTTCAAGCAGCTGCTTGAGTGCTGCTGTCATTAAAGCAAAAGAGAGACGAACCAAATACTATTCTGATGTGTTTATTTTTAAACTAAAATGTTCATTAAAATATTTGAGCTGATAATAAATTTGTCAGTGAAATGTATTAAATTGCAAAAGCACACAAGATAGAAGCATTTTTTCTAGTGGTTTCAGACTTTCGGAATCAAATGCATTCATGTATTCTCACTCCTGACCTGTGCTTCGTTCTCTTTCAGCAGCCTGCGTGTACGAGCCCCTCCCGGGTCATCAGTCAGGTTGAGCATCACTACGCTCTTTCTCTCCCAGCCGATGAAGGAGCCATCTATCATGCCTTCTACCATGGCCAGGAAGTCCTCATAGCCGTGGTGGCGTGTGGTAACCACAGAGAAAGCCGTCCAATCAAACTCCTCCAGAACTTCGAAAATGACCTCCAGCTGCAGGTCAGTGGAGCACAAGAACTGCAAGTAGACGGAGCCAATCTCCTGAAAGAACAAGAAATTGTGGGTAAATATGGTAAAACTTTGCAACATAATATTTAGCATAAATAGAGGAACTTCTGAAAGGACTGAGGCATCACAGATTTCACTTCCCTTTCCAGCCTAAATTTTCTCTGAACATCTGTTGGTAGTTTTAGATCAATCATCTACAAGCCCTTTGTTTCAGTATTTCTCATTTATCTGGTCTTTTTCTCTTCCCTCCATTTAGCCTCTGCTTCTTACTCATTCAGATCAGTACAGTCATTCTTAATACCCACACAGCATGACGTAAAGGATTCATTGCTATTCATAAGCCTGTGTTTCAGGTGACATTAGTGTCCTTGGCTGCTTTAGGATTCGAAACAGTCAGTTCAGCTTTGCTTCAGCTCATCTCAGCATCTTTTTTTTTATACCCTGGAAGGTGACCATTCCACTGTACAATCGAAGAGATTTATGACTCTGACGTAAAGCCGTATTTCAGATAGTGGAAAATAGCAACGCTTAGTCTGACACTTGCTAATGCATCATAATCATGATCAAATATATCACGAATTTGGCATGACACCTGTTTTGTGCCTGCTGGTGACACTGGCCATTAAATGAGAAGCGTGTTGCCTTTATAATTGACTTTATGTCTTGAAAATTCAGACGAGCTAAGTGTGACCTCTGTAGATCTTTGAAGGATCATTTCTGGGCAGATGTTTTGTGTATACTGCAGCTGCTAAAACCTCACATTAGAGTAAATATTGTAATTGCAGCGATGCAAATTACATACAGACAAATTATAATTTCCATGTCAGATTACTTACATCTGCATGTTAACAGCTTGATCTGAAAAAAAAAAAATGATTCGCTTATAGAAAACATTTCAAGTGTAGCCCTTTGAGAAGTTTACATAGAGAAATGTAAGTGTGAAGTGCTCTGCGAGAATGAGGGCTTTGTTTCTGTGTGCTTTAAAAACCTCTGGGTTAAATACGCCTGGCTTATCTGCAGCAAAATATACTGTTTTTTGTATAGCTTCACTTAGAACTAATTTCATTTGCTAGGGTTGCTGGGTTTACACAAACATTCACTGTGTCAGAGCGAGTGAAGAGATGTGACCATACAAGATGGCCCCTGTTATATTAAACAAAGCTGTCAATGCGTACAGTTAGCATATACACAGCTTTGTTGATCATAATGGAGGTGATCTCCGATGTCTGACAGAGGAGATGATACAACATAAAGGTGAATATTAGCTTATGTTTTCATATATTGAACTTGGCTTAAGCACATATTTGCTGGTCTATAACCAGTGCTGGGTAGATTACTCGCAAATTGTAGTCTGTTACTGATTCCAAATTATATGACAAAAATTGTAGTCAGTAACGTAATCCATTACATTACACATTTTAGGTAATATAATCAGATTACTTTTAGATTACTTGTGACCTAACATGTTCATCGCATTGATTTAAATAGGATAATCTTGCACAATATTGATATAAAAATACAAGGAGAAAGAAAACAGTTTCTATTCATTATTATTAACAACATGAAGTGCATTAAACATTACATCAAGGTTTCTCAAACTGGGGTTCATGAAGGAACTGCAGGGGGATTGTGAGTTTAAAGAAAAACAATTAGGAAGAATCAATAAATTATTAAAAATATATTGCCATTGTTTGAATAATACAGCACTGTCTATAACATATTGACTCCATGATTATCTTTTCACAGACATTATTATTATTTCTGGATTTTAATGAATTTGATTTTCAAGAGCCAAACTGCTAATTTTATCTGCATTTTCTGAGTCATCTATATATGATTTAATTATTTTGTGACTGCAAAAACAGCCTATTCAAGTTCAGTATTAATCAATTTATTTCTAGAGTTATATAAAGATTAAAATAATAACCATTTTATGAAGTTGAATCAATGAGCTACCATCTGTCAGACTTTTGGACCTGTTTTGCCCCCGTAGTCCTTCCTGTGTTTCCTTATTTAGTCTTGTCCCTGTCCTTGTTCAGTTTGATTGATATTAATTGTTTCCCCTCACCTGTCTGTCCCTCGTTATCCAGTCCTTATAAGCCCCAGTCTGTTCAGTTTGTATTTGTTGGTTCTACTTGTTTCTATGTGTGTTTGCCCAGCTCCTATTGTGGATTACCCCATGTTTTCATCATTAAAGACTGTGCATGCTACTCCGTGTCTCCTAAGTTCTTCCCGCAGCAGCGTAACGTGACACCATCTGTGTTAAATGTGTAACCCAGCCTGCTGGGTAAATGAGCACCCCAACTTGTCAGATAAGATTAACACAGCATGTCTCCGGTCTATTATTTCAACTCAACACTGTGTTTAAAAACTACCCAAATTGGCTTGTTTTTACCCAGCATTTTTAAAGAGTATAGACACCTGGTATAATGCCAGAACAAAATAGCAGTTATGACATCCACAAACAATTTGATGTTGATTTTGCTGAATTTTGCCACATTACAAACACTTCCAATGCAAATAAAAGAAAAAAAAACTCCACAGTCCTTTTCCCTTATGAATAATTTCCCCCTAGGCATTACCTTGGCAATCTGGCAGTTTTTTTCATAATTACACTTACACTGTTAGTATATTCATGATACATACCTGTAAAAAAAAAAAAGAGAGGAATTGTTAACATCTCTGTCAACAATCAAGGCACTCAGCCCATTTTCTAACATGCTCATTACAACACAACACCTCAAATATGCAAAACAAGTGTTCATACAGTGTGACCAAAGGATAAAGCCAGGCTATTTTGTTGAGCCTTTCAAATAATAGCCAGACAGAGGAGCTGCAAACCGGGTGAGGAGAAAAATGTCACGACTGCAGAGCATTAATCAGGCATAAAGGCTCACCTCCGCTCTATATTTAAATGAAGACTAGCTTGTTAAAGCTCAAAGAGCTTACAGTAGTACTGTAACTTGAAGCAGTGCAGCACTTTAAATTGGCCATGTTACATTTTCCACACTTCTACATTTCCTTCAATAAATTTAATACATCAAAATTGGAGCAGGTTATATGTCTTTTATTACATTTTACTGAACGCAAGAGAGAGGAAGAGAGTCATTTCAGACCTTCCTGATGTACATATTCAAAGAAATTAAAATAAATAATTTAAAAAAATAATTGGTATTTATAATTGATGGTGATTTTATAGGTTTTGTTTTTTAATTATTTACAAAATATAATAATAATAATAATTTCCTATTTTTCAACTTTTGCATTTGTTTAAAGAGCAGGTCATATGGGTTTTTGAAAAATATCTTTTTTGCAGTTTATAACGTAGCTATCCTTAAATGAAAACAATCTGCAAAGTTGTTATTAAAAAAGTGCATGATAAATAAAAATATTGTTTCTCAAAAGAGAGAGTCGATTCTGAATTCGCCTTAACGAGTCGTCATATTTTCAAATCTTTTGTCTGTTACCGGTATACGTAACTGGGTAACACATTTGCATAATCCCGTCTGCCCACGAAATACGAACAGAGTCTGACCTGCCCACAAACACTTCCGCTAGTTAGTGTGTTTACATCATGTTGAGAAGATGCTGTGTTCAAGGATACCACAGAAATACAATTCCAACTTTTTCTTGTGTGCATGTCATTTTACCAAGGACTGCTTTTCTAATCTTGGCTTTTATCTTCGTTGGCTTCTAATCTTCTTAATTTGGACTAACAAGCTCTCCAAACCACAACCTGTAAGTACGATTGATACGTTATGTGTATAGTTTCAATTGAGTGCTCAAAATATCAAGTTTTTATGCTAATATGTGATGTATAACTAGTGAAGCTTTAGGTTTCCAGGTAAAGCACGATATTACTGTCTTACTGAAGTAGTTCTGATAATTCGCTGTGAACCCACTATTTCCTAAGAATGTGTCGATTAATGTAGACTGATGTTGTTCTAATTACTTCGTTTAATAATAAAGACTCCCCTGCCATTATATTAGGGGGCGGCCCGCCCGGTCTCTACATTATGGTCACGCTCTCTGTATCACGCACAGCGGAGTTCTCCCACTCCCACTCTCACTAGTATTTGTAAATATTAAGCCACAAAACCACTATTTAAATATGAATTCTGCGTGTTTCTGTGTTAATTAATCGCGCAGACACACGGTTTTGTTTACTAACAGTTACTTGTACTGAAGCACGCCTGAAGCTTGTGGTGGTCTGCCGTCTCAATAATGAGGACATAAATACATGAACAACATCTCCAGAACTGCTCTGAGTGTCACTTCATGAGCATTTGACTGTTTCATTTGAGTAAAACTATCATCATGTCATACACACACAGAAATGTAAAGGTATTCACGGCAACCCGTCAAAATAAAAGTTTGGTTTAACTTGAAGGCATTGCGGCAGAAATATATTACTGTTGTTCAGTAGCATGTACATACTACTACTACTAAAATTATTAAAACCTTATTTTTAAGGAATAATCATACAATATTTCTTCAATGTTTTAATTGTAATATTAAATGATTAATTAATTAATTAATTAATAATTTGCATTACTTAAAAGATAGATTAAATGAATGTTCATGCCTTAAAAAATTTAAATACACAACAGAATTTCTGAGCAAAAAAATCATAAAGCTATTGTAAGAATAAATGAAACTTGTTTTTATGCTTTCAAATAATTAGACATGCTAAAACAAAATTTGGTAACAATAAAACATAAGGTTGGGAAAAATAAAACATTTCCTAGGGCCCTAAACATGTAATTTTTGTAACATTTTTAATAAATTGATGTAAACTTGTTTAAGTTTCATGATTTTAATTAATTAGACATGCTTTTTGATTAATACAATTTAATTTAACCATTAAAAAGGAGTCCAGAAATAATAATAATGGAACCCGCCCCCTGGACATTATAATACAGCTGTTCTGCGTTCTGATTAAAAGTTAAGACAGAGCGTCTTTTGTCTGTCGTTTTTCAAACATTACAGTAGGCATATTTTGGTTTACAAACTATATTGTTTCATCAGACATT